ATATTTAAATTTGGTGAATCAAAGAGTGAGATTTTGAACTATAAATGCTTCCTAATGGTGCATTTAAAAATAGTTTCTGCCAAGAATACACCAAAAATAATTGGAGTGTTACTTATGATTATTTTGGTTATAAAGTTGATCATTGACAATCAATCTATAGGTAGTTCTAAAACCAGTAACTGACTGAGTAAAGTCCTTTTCTATTCAAAAAGGGGATCATATTTGTTTTGGAAAATACAGAGTACTGTAAGATATATTGCCAACCTCAGAGACTGAAATCCTCTTAGAGAAACAAAGCATACATCCTTAAGAATAAAATAACATCATATTTACATGTGAAAGGTAGTACAACATAATTTAGGATTACACGTAAATGAGACTCCTGACAGAAGATCAAACACACTCCTGTTAGTTTTCCTATATACAAATCCCTCTCAGAAAACATAGTGCAAATGAACAAGACTAACTTTATATGGTTAAACTAAATACAAAAACATTGATTAATAAATTGTTCATATTTTTACTTTTTTGGTAAGATATTATTCCAACAACATTTTTTGAACAAATAATAAGGTATTTTCTTTGATCCATGTTGTGATTTATAGAGTATATACATATATACACCACTCAATAATGTCGTCACAAACTACATGTGATTAATAATCATTTGAAATATGGCTATTACAAATTAAGATGTGCAATAAATATAAAATATACATGGATTTTTAAGACTTGATATGAAAAAATGAATGTAAAATGTCACATTAATAATTTTATATTATAGGTTTGTCCAATCACTTGTTGGATACATTGTGAAAGAAAATATATTATTAATTTTTCTTGTGTTTTTTATTATGACAAATAGATAATTTGAAATTACACATGACTTTTATTATATTTGTTTTAAGCTAAACAACTCTGGTTTTAGAGGAAAGAATGTACTTTAAAGTGAAAAAATTTAAGAAATTTATCTATGATAAAAGGGTCATATTTCAATATTATGATGTAATCTGTTATCATCAAGACTGTATATTTTTAGCAATGAGAAACTCACTACCTTAAAATTACTACTTAAAAATATTCCAACCTTAATAAATTATTATCATATTTGCCTAAAACTCAGGCTCCAAATAATTTGTACCCCTTTATTCTAGTTATTCATTTTGAACTACACAAAGTAATTCAAACCCTAATCTGCATAATGACCTTTTCCTTGTCTTTGATCAAGGAATCTAGACCCCATACATCCTTCTAATGAAGTCTAACCTTCCATTATCTTGCCTGAATAATTACTTATTTTTAATAGTACCTAAAGTCTTCTTACATCTTCTGTTTTGGCACTAGATGGCATCATGGTATTCCTAGCATTTGGCCATTTGTTAATATATTTCCTACCTAGACAGGTTTTTTGAAAATTCTACATATAAATTGTATTATTTAAAGGACTCTTCAAAATGTTTACTCTGCTACCCCATCATTAGTCATTCTTTGTTTATTTTTTCAGAAAATATTTTTTGAGTGCCTACTATGTTGCAAGAATAAGTTTTGGTAGAATAACAAAAATGCCTCATTTCCATGGATATTCATGTAACTCATCTCACTAACTTTGTAATTTTTGCATAAGTTTTGTTTCTTTAAATCTTAACTGCTACCCAGGGAAAAATAAGTGCAAAGCCCTTGGCATCTTCCTCAAGATCATTTTGTATATTATTACAGATTAATAAATCAATAGTTTTGTTGTCTAGAGTGATACAATATAAACTGGTGTTTAAATATTTTCATTTTCATCATTAGAACTTCATGATTTTGTCAAATCCCTCAGTAAAATAAAAACTCACTACATCAACAAGTATTTGTTTATATTCAAAATCATGTTTTCAAAAGAGGAAGATCTTGAACTAAGTCAATATGTGGGTATTATTTCGAGAGGAAACAACAAGAGCTAAGATTTTAGTCAACATATATTTATATAAGATATATATTCTTATCCCTGTGTTACAAATGAAAAAGCTGAGGTTCAAAGAAAATAACTTGTCCAAGGCCCCTTACCTCTTAAAAAGTGGAACACATTTCCAATCTGTACATTCTTATACAAGACATTGTGTTCTTCACTGTAAGATCAAAGGAATTTTAAGGTACTTGAGGAGGGATAACAGATCATCAAATGGTGTGCAACAAAAGACTATAATGGTAACAATTAAATAAGGTCCCTGGGACAAAATTGAGGGAAGCCTTCACTATCATCCTGGAGTTTGAACTTTATTCTTCCTGTACCCACCAGGTACAAAAGTTTCTGGAACAACATAGTAGTATAATGAAAAAGATTTGAGGACATACTGACCTGATCACTGTGCACAGGCTGGAACTGGTTTGGCAGGAAGGAGATTTTATTCTAGTCTGGAAGTAATTGTCTGTCCTATGTGAGGGCTCAGAAAGATGATGGGCTTGGGAATACAAAGCAAGTGGATCATAGAAAATTAATTAACACTTACTGATACTTATTAGAAAAAGATATTCAAGAATGAATGACATGACTTATGTTTTAAACATGGATGACTAAGAAAAATGATCTATTTACAGAACTAGGAAAGTTAGTGTTGTAAGAAGTTTGGGGGAAGTTAAATAGCTTAGTTCTAGATAGATTGAAATTCAGGTGAGAAATTAGCTAATTTCTAGTCTAGACTGGAATTCAGAAGTGAGATCACAGCTTGTCTTTATAACAGTTTGAGAAGCACAAATCTTATAGTTAAAATCATGGAAGAAAATATATTTTATTATGGGAGAGGCATTGGGAAAGGGGTACAGAGGTCCAAATTTAGAGCCTTTGAAAATACTATCAGTATATGGAGAGAAGATAAGCTAGAGAGGATGCAGGCAGACCAAAAAGGTAAATCTGACTGCAAATATATCCATATTATTTTGATATCCAAGTACTCAATAAAAATTATTTTAAACATTTATCATTGTATGCTCACAAAATCAAGTAGAAAAAATGTAGTTTCTCTTATTAAAATCAGCAAACGTGAAGAACAGTTTAATAACATAACACTATCAAATTGGTATTGTGTAGTTAAAATTCTAAAGGATGGTATTCAAAACAAGGGTGGTAATAATTTTACCTTTAAAGTCCTTTGAACAGTATTTGAGGATTGAACTAAGGACTATGCTAGTAATATCTTGAAATATTCTTAACGCTTATTTTTAAAAATTTTATTGCC